TACTGCTACTGCTATTGTTATTGCTACTACTACGGCTACTACTACAACTACAACTAGAACTACAACTTGCTGAGGACCCGCAAAAAGGGCATCGTTCGGTACTGTTCGACGCGGCCTTCTTTGGTGAGGCCCTGCATGCTGCATCCGAAGCCTCCAAGCCGATCTTTCGTTCGCTTGTTCAGGCAAAGCAAGTACGGGGAAGGCGAAATGTACTGGACTGACACACGCATTAAAGGGAAGATCTCGAAACTTTGTGGCATTGGGCTAGATCTACGATCTACAAAGTAAAACTACAGTGACTCTTTGCCCTACTACTATCTAATGAACACAAGCTGGCACTCTCAGGAAGAGCCGGCGCAAGGTGTTCCAGGAAGCTATGGAATGGGATGAGGAGGCTGACTCCAAAGACGAAATCCTTAATCGGAGCTTCGACGACTGGACGCTTGGGGTGTCCGGTCCCTGGGGCTTGATTAACTTTGCGAAATCAAAGGTACCATCTTATTACAATGTCGCATTCGTGTGTAATCCGCAGGGGCCCACAGTTCGGTAACGTCCGAAAGCACCAACACAACCAGTGTGTAACCCTCAAAGAACTTGAAGCTCACGCAGAAACTCCGAATTTAAAGCCAACACAACCATCTCAGCAGGACCCAAACCCTTTATCTTTTTCCGACCACCAAACACTAGGCCAAACCCTGAACAGAAAACTCTAGACCCTTTGCCCTGAAGACTCCATTTGGTCCTACAGCGGCTCAGGTGACACCTTCCAGAACATCATCGGTAACGACGACGCTGTGCCCGCCGACGAGCCGGAGAGCCTCACGAGTAGCAGTGTTATGCAGAAGGTAAGTTGGCCTGAGCTAGCTAAAGACGCTGCCCCAAGCAGTCTGTTGCATCCGTGCAAGAAGTGCGTCGAGAAACATGAGAAGAAACTTGACTTGCTGCTCCAGCGCTACGATGCTGTGAAAGCGGACAAGTTGTCAAGCTTGCAATCGCAGACCCGAACTTAGTCGTTTGGTACAGATCTTCAAATGTTACCTGTGTAACAAAACCAAAGCCGCCTTCTCAAGGCTGAGATCAAAGCTGAACGAGGCGCAGGGTCACCTCAGTGGATCCATCGATAAGATCGAGGACAAGATCCGAGATGGTGCTCTTAATGGGTTCACCCGTGGGACTCTCTACCTGAGTCTACCTAAAGATTGTTTCCGCAAGTAACCGTTTATCCAATGACTGTTGGTGCACCCCCAACCCTGTGCACAGCCAACCTAGGATGAACAAGTCCATTATGAAAATGCTTGATGACATGCGCCAAATGTGATGAACTCAGACTTTGCTGCCCAATAGTGCTCGGCTGCAAACACCGAACATGATGCCTGCTCAGGGTGATCGACGCAATGCTGCTGCATGATCGTGCTAAGTGAGACCCTCAGTCATCAAGCCATTTGTGAAGTGAAGCCCCCATAAGCCATGGAACCGTGCAGGTCCCACGCCCCGGCCGTGGCCGAGGAACCCAGCACGAAGACGAAGACCCCGCGGGCAAAGACGAAGGCCAAGGCGAAAGCTAAGGCCAAAGGTCGAGCGACAAAGAAGAGGCAGTGTGAGGCTCCCCATACCCCTGCTTCGACGAAAAAGCCGAAGAAGTAGTTCGCTGCTCCCTGTGTTGCAAATTCTAGCTTCTAGCAACGCAGCTTCGTAAAGGAAAGCCGTGGAAACTACATGGGGTTGCAGTGATGGGTGGAGCTTTTTCCCATGCTGTAATTAATTAGTTCGCAGTTTTCAAGCAGTACCGACTGCTTGAAGCTTGAATAGCTACATCGCCGGGGACGAAAGAAGGGCTGGTGTTAGCGCAGCAAAGGTGTCCTATGCATCTGCAGCCCAGCAAACCTATTCCTTGTGTAACCTAAACCTAAACATAAACTCTAAACCCGAAACCCTAAACCTGATAAAACTATTCTCCATAACAACCCCCGCGGCCAGGTACTTCCGAGGATGAGGCTGAGTCGAGTGACGAGGTCCTGCTGGAGCACCTGGCTGAAACCATGGGGGATGGTGTTCCCGCCCTGGTCACTTTGGGTTACAGGCCTTAGGGTTTAGGGTTTAGGGTTTAATTCTCAGGGAAAATTGTCCGGTTATATCTGTAACATAACGACGAGGTTCTAGGATGTTGGGGTTCCGAGTTTAGGGTGCCTCACTTTCGAGTTGATGGGATAATTTGCTTTGAAGCTGGATGATGCCTGCTTGCTGAATCCATCTTTTGAAACTATTGGGGTACTGTCTTTTAACTTTGATAACTATCCTAAATGCTAAACTCTAAACCACTCTCTCTCTCTCTCTCCCTAAACCCCTAAACCCAAAGTCCCTAAACCCTCAACCAGAAACCCCTAAACCCGAAGCGAGCCCAAGCCGGTACAACCAAGTTACGTGACCCGAGCTTTTAGATCAGAAAGCAACGTCTGCCACTGAAGTCCCCGACACCAAACTTCGAACCGTGCAATATCAAATCGAATACAACCCTATCCCAAGGCTACGGCGGTATCAGTGAAGCGAGCACTTCGTGCCCGCGAGGGCAAAAGGCCAAAGGCCACCTGCGAGAGAGCAGCCGAACGGGATACTCAGCGGCTTTTTGAGAGATCGAATTTGTCGCTACCGGTGCAGATTGAGAGTGTGCAACATGCCACAGCTGATGCATCCTCGTCGGATATCACAACGTTTCATGTCCGTCCACAGAGCTGGCTGCAGTTCCTATTGAGGGAGTGTCCTGACTTACTAGGCGGAAACCCAGGTGAATGCTACTCCAACTTCGAATGCTTCTGGAAGTTGTACTCGATGGAGCACCCCTCCCATGCCGTTTTCACCTCCCATGGTCAACGACTTGCTTCTGTGGTTCCGCTTTGTATACATGGGGACGAAGGCCGAGGACTCAAGAAATCAAACTACCTCGTGATGAGCATGCAGAGTCCCTTAGGCTCCACCCCAAGGCCTTCCAAGCGCAAGTGCAATTGCGAAGCGAGCCTCCTCAATCGTGAGGATTTGCCTTTCAAGGACGGCCAGGATCCATCCCTCAGCAGAACAGTGAAAGAGTTTATGGATTCTGTTTGGTGCAATTTCAAGGGCCATTCCTACTTGTCGCGCTTTCTGCTGTATGGGCTTGGGGGCGTGGTGTCGAAAAATCATCCAGAAGTGCCAGAAACCATGTACCGACTCCTAGCCTCGGATTTGTACGAGCTTTTCCATACGGGAATCGAGGTACCAGATCGAGGTCGAGTGTACGGGGCCGTGATTGCTCTTAAGGGCGACATGGAGTGGCACAAAAAGTGTATGAACCTGACACGTAGCTGGCTCCACGCAGGGCAGAAGTCCGAGGGTGAAGTCTGCCATTGCTGTTTGGGTGGCAATATCAACTATCCTTTCGAGGATTATTCCGAGAACCCCCAATGGTCCCAAACTCTCTTTCAGTCCCGGCCATGGACGAATGCCAAGCCAGCTTCGTTGCTACGAATCCCTTTTGATGTTGCTGAGCCTCCAAAGCCTGAGTATATCATCAAGGGTGACTTGTTCCACATCATGAAGTCTGGGTGCTGTAGAGACGTCATCGGAGGGGTTGTACTGTTTCTTTGCCGACAATCATATTTCGATCATGCTGGTTCGACAACGAATCTGCCAGACAGACTCGGTCGAGCCCATGGCAATTTCAAGCTATGGTGCCTCAGCGAAGGCGTCCGCGCAGGGCTTCATTCGTTTTCGAAAGCATCTTTCAACATCAAGAACATGATGTCTGCACCGTGGTGTAACTGCAAGGGGTCCGACACTGTACTGCTTCTGCGATGGCTTTCGTTCTTCTTGACACTTAATATACAACACCCTCAAGTTCCGAATAACAGACGCCATTTCGGGATAATGAAGATGATGCTCGAAACCATCAAAGCTGCACGGACCATTCTCTCCTTCATTCGCGAGCACAGATTGTTTTTGCATCGAGCGTGTGGCCGCCGACTGTATGTAACGATCATGCGCTTTTTGAGGGGCTATCAACGCCTTGGTAAACTCGTTCTGGGCCTACAACAGAGAAGCTTCATACAGAAGCCGAAGCTACATGCTCTTCACCATGTGGCATACCAGCTGCGACGCCAACTAGCTTCAGGCTTACCCATGATGAACCCCGAGGCCCATTGTTGTGATATGGATGAAGACTTCATTGGGAGAGTAGCGAGGGTCAGCCGGAAGCTTAACATTCGGCTGTTGGACAAGCGGGTCTTGCAAAGGCAATTTTTAAAACTCCGAGCCCTTATCAACAAACGAAAGCGAGAGCCTGCGAAAAAGGTTTCAGGTAAACAGCTGAAGAAGCAATCTTTCGCAAGCTGAACAGCACTGCGAGCTGTGCGACTGTCACGAGCGTCTGAGAGCGTGGCGAGGAAAAGGAGCCATCTTTCGCTCGCTTTGGACATCTGCTTACTTATTTATACGACATAGAGTATTATCTTTCAGATTTTGGTGTTACGGCGTAAGGCTTCATTGCTTAGTATGTCGATCTCTTCCCAAAGACGATACAAGTGCTCTCGTCTTTTGAACCAGCTCCAAGCAAAGGATGACAGTCAGGACCTCGGCCTGATTTTTTCTGTGCGGGCTGAATTTCTTGTCGCGGGCTGATTTTCTTCGTTCGGGCTGTTTCCAGGTCTGAAGGGGTTCAGTCTGATATTCTAGGCCGAGGCGTGTCTAGGTATATATATGTATATACATATACACATACCTATCTATATCTATCGAGCGAGCCTACAGGCTACCTGCTTGCAGACAGAGGCTTCTCCGGACAAAGCTTTAGGATCAACGAGCTGAGTTTTCGAACCAACCCGATATTTTGCAAACTCGGTGCTTGCGGAAGCTCGCTGGCAGATGCGAGGGGATCTTGAGCCTCAGATTCGATCGGCCCCACAGCCGCTTCAGCTCTTTATAGCTGCCTGGGAACCTATAGTGTTTTTCAGCTTCAGACTCACCCATCCCTAACCCACCCTTAAGCTTGAAGAGCCATGCGCAGACCCATACCTCTACGACACCAACCTTAATACTATAAACCTGTGCAAGCAGACTTACATAGATATACTGTTTCGAAGCCCGTACAAACTCTAAACGTGCTTACGGCATGCGGAAGAATCTACACGTTTGTTTTGTATATATATATATATATACATGTATATGACTTCATGTCGTTTCAGAACTGGGATCGACATATAATTTAGTCACATGTATATACGGTATGTGTATGTATGTATGTATGTATGTATGTATGTATGTATGTGTGTATGTACGTATGTAACTATGTGTATGTATCCATGTATGTATGCATGAAAATATGTATGTGAGCATGTGTATGGCTCGCCTGAAGCACTTACACCCCATGCAAAGGCAGTAGCAGCTGTACATGGATCGGTCGATCCAAGTTACAGAAGCTTTCAAGCAGCAAAGCATGACCACACACACACACACATACACACTCAGATCGTAAACATTCGATGGATGCTTATGCCCAGCATCAGCAGAGTGGCCACGGATTCAGCTGGGAGTTCGCGTCCACGAGGACTGCCACAGTGGCTTTTCAGCCTTGGAGGGTTCTGAGGGGAACAATACATAATTGTTATTTTCCTCAGGACGGTCTTTCGACGAATATGTTGTGAGGGTTCTGCTGGTGGGATTTACATGTGTGCCACTTTCAATATAGGCGAGTAGCTTCTTCAACGGTTGAAGCACAACCAAAGGCACGGATTCTCGCTTCCATCGCGCAGCTGACGGTGTGGGGTCACCAAAGATCAGATCCACTAAATCAGCCTCCCATTCCTCCTCCGTTCCCAGCATGCTCGTGCATGGGGCAAGTAGAGGCTGCGGACTGCACGTGCATCCTATATGAGTTCGGACCAAGCAGACATGCAACATGTTGGGTACTGCTATAGGCAAGCTGAGCTGAGCACTCCCTTGCCGACTTGACGTGCGAAGGAAATCATTTCATCGCTGGGCCCTGGCGCGGGGGACTCATTTGTGTTATGTGTGCCGTCGTGCTTGGCCAGTCCTCTAGCATGCATATAGCACGTGAACGCATCTGTTGTCGAATGTTTTCACTTGCAGCTCGTGTGTCACAACACGTGCCCGGAAGGAATCTTCGACCCAAGCATGCTGCTAAACTGCGGTCGTGCAAATAATTTCGTTGCAGACAACCTTAAATTAATCCTTTCAACGTTGCTCGAGTGAGCAGTGCAGCTATCCGATCGCATTGCATCGGAGTCGCGCCCAGCACCCTTCATCCCTTCAGTCTCGGCATGGAAGTTGCTAGTAGTTGATCCACTACAGGCTCTCTCTCTCTCTCTCTCTCTATGTATATATATATATATATATGCATACACACGTACATGAGGAGCCACATGCTTTATGCGAACTCTATATTGGTATATGTAAGCCTACGTATTCCCAGCCCTCCACTGACTGCTTCGAAGGGTGTTCAAGATTGCATACATCCTTGGCAAAATCGCATCCAGTCGAAATCAGGTGGACTCCGTGCCAGAGGCAGTTGCCCTCTTGAATGTCCTCTCAGCCGACCTTGACAAGCTAGCTTCAAATGTACGGACACAGTTCTAGATAGGAGACAGTAAACCCACGTGGCCCAGTAGGAATACACGAGAAACATAGAACGACAACTTGAAGTACCATGCAAAAGACTGCTCAAGGCCAGATGCTTGGCTTGGTTTTCTGCGGCGAGCAGGCGGGAGCACCTTGGCACGGATCGCACTGTCTGCTTCAGGGCTGAGCAATCTCCTAATTTCCACACATGTATAATATTTCTATACACATATGTATATATGCGTCTGTGTGTGTGTCTTCGCATATATGTAAAACAGGACTTATACTTACACTTATAAAGGAACATGCAAAGACATGTATGTATCTATATATATTTATACATATACATACATGTATATTAGATATATGTCTAAATAAATGTGTATATATATACACATGCGTTGCTTCAGCAGATTGGCTCCGTTGCTGCAAGCATGGTATATATATATATACCAATATATGGTACATGTATATATATATATATGTATATAGATAGGCAAGTCGACAGATAGATAAATAAATATAGTCAGATAGAAAGATAGACAGATAGATAGATAGATAGATAGATAAATAGCTAGATAATTAGCTGGATATATAAAGGTAGCTAAGTAGATGGGTCGAAAACCAATTATGTCCTGATATATGTATATACATGAGCTATATACATACCCACATGGACAGACCCACATTAAGATTATGGCTGCTTGGATGGATAGATCGATGGATGGATAGATGAACGGATTGGGCGGAGGGGCGGGCAGATGCGTAGATAGTTAAGCCGATAGTGTGTGGATGCTCATTGGGCCATAAGCAGATTAGGGTGGGTCATAATAGCGATCGAGATCTACTTCATGTCTGCAGGGACCCCTTAAGGGTGTTCTGTGAATTCAGGAGAAAGAAATACAGAAGCAAAAGATGTCATCTCAAACGCAATCCCACATTTCCAGAGATATGAATATTTTGACATATCAGGAACCCGGAGTGCATCGGACCCTTTCCTACGCAATATTTATGAAAGCATATGAAAGCTACCCCATGCAGAAACTGAAGAAAAAACTCCCCTACGATTATTCTCCGAAAATGCTTCTAAGGCACGCAACAGAAGTAGACTTCCAGCAATTGTCGATCGCTTCCTGCAGCCTCGGATGTTGTAAAGATCAAGAAGTTAGAAACACGTGCATGATTCCAGATGTTGACAGGAAGTCAGCAGGCAGCCCCTAAAAGCACGCGTGAGCAAGAGCCCAATCGAAGCAATCAGCAGACTCTCCAGCTGCATCACAACATCATCATGCAATGTCTGTCTAATTCCAGAACCCAGGAACTCAGTCGAAGGCTTCCCGTTAGCCTGTCGAGCTTGCAGGTCAACGAGCGTTTCGTAGCCCTTCTCGACATCGGCGAGCTTGGACTCCAAGTTCTTCATGGCCCTGGGACAACTAAGATGGGGGTTAGACGGGACTTCCAGGTTTCGGCGCTGGACAAGGTTTCAGGATGAGTTGATGGTTGGCATATAATCTATAATGGGCATGTAGATTAGCAGTTCTGGGGCTACATTCGTGTCACATAGAGATCCACATGTGTCTGTGCGCATATATGCCTAGAGGGCCGTACAAACAAACACACACATACATACATACAGAAATATCTAATGCACTGCTACATATGTATATATATATATATATTAGACAAATATACACATATCTAGAAATGGATACATCTTCGTATGTACATGTATATATATATATGTACAATAGCTGTATTTGTGTTGTATTGTACATATACACAACACATGTACATATATGTGCATATAGACATGTATGAGGCCATTTGCAGTTTTTTGCGTGCTTATATACACGATCATGCAAAGACAGGAGTTGCTGACAATAAGTGAGTATGTATATACACACACATACACAGCAGCGCATACATGGATAGGTGCCTTCATGTGGGATCGATCTCGGTCGAAATGCAACAGGGTCAGCTAGTGGATCAGCATCTATCTTTCACGGGGCTTCCAACAGCAGACCATCACGGCTACAAGAGAAGTCATGGGTAGGACGCTAAGCCTCATAAAACCTGAAACCCTAAACCCCTAAGACCTGATAAACCCATATCCTTGCATATATCTTATAATTATAATCTGTACATACCTTCTTGCAAGGACTGCAGCTCCCAGGATCGCTAGGATGTTTGTTATCTAGGCACGTAGTATCTCGAAGCTTTTGGAGGTTATGTTACACTTTCAGAATTACAACCACTTCACAACATACAAGAAGAGCCGTAGTCAACGTACCAGCTATGCTAGAGACTTAGGTTTCTTGTAGGATTTCAGGAGCAAAGAAGAGGAAGGGTTTTTGGAGGGTATCTGTAATATCCTATGGGAATTAATCATGGATGCATCATCAGGTTTCATGAGCGTACCGCACTTGCAAACCCCAAGCCCCCTGAAGCCCTATAGGTACAGCCCATGTATGCCTACAATAAACTTTCCCTCCTTCTCTAATTCCCCCACTCCGTGTCGAGCTGCTGGGATGCACGGCATTCCGTGCCTTGATTGCCTTCGTTGCCTTCCTTGCCTTTCTGGGCAGGCGGAATGCACGTCTCTACACGGCCCAGGAGGTCGTGGGCTTTGGTCATCCTAGCCAGCACGGTCTCCACGCACTTGTTCAGGAATTTCTGCTCCTGAGGTTTATAAATCTAAAATAGATTTGTTCAGCCCGCTGCTTGCCAACCGTGAATTGATTATAGCTGGTAGCATGATT